ATTGACACCAAGGAGTTCTGGTGTGGTGCTGCAGGTTAATACACTGGACTGTAATGTTGGTTTGAATTGTGAGGTCAGTGGTTCAAGCCCATCAGCTGCTCCTCAGAGACCCTATATAGTGTTGCTATGAGTCAGAACTGACTTGACGGCACTTGACAGCAACAGCATTGACACCAAAACACAAACTATAAAGAAAAGATTGATAGATTCCATTACAGTTTTAAATTTCAGCATATACAAAAAAAAAAAAAACAAACCAAAAAACAAAATTGAAAGGTTAATAATATAAAGAAAAAAAAGATTATGTTTTAAAATATTTGAATGACAAGTGGTCAGATTCATTAATATAAAAAGACCTATTAAAAATTCCTAAGTTAAAGATAAACTTATCCATAAAAAATTAAGCAAGGTTTAGGGACAGGCAATAAATTAAGAAATATTTGTTCTTGAATGAATGAGATGGACATGCCAATAAAAAGAGGAATATCTAACCTCAACTCACTAAGTTGTTGTTGTTAAGTATCATAAGAGTTGGTTCCGACCCATAGCAACCCTGCATAGGGTTTCCGAGGAGTGGCTGGTGAGCCTGAATCACAGACTTTGCAGTTCAAACCAACTTTGCAGCCCAGTGCATTAACCCACAGTACCACATCAGGACTCACTATACTAGAAATCAAAGAAAGGTTAGTTAATACAACATTTCCCCCTAACAAATTAATAACGATCATAGTTTTCAGTGTTGGCAAATATATGGCAAAATAACACTCTCATGTTGCAGGAGTGTGAATTGGTGCAATCTTTCTAGAAGACAATTTGGTGGTGATGGCTATGTGCCATGGAGTTGGTTCTGAGTCATAGCGACCCTGTATAGAGTTTTCGAGGCTGCAAATCTTTACTGGAACAGAAAGCCTCATATTTTTCCTGTGGAACAGCTGGTAGTTTCAAACTGCTGACCTTGAGATTAGCAGCCCGACTAGTAACCACTTCGCTACCAGAGCATCCTAGAAGACAATTTACCAGTATGCATTTATAATCCTCTCCTTTTGACCTAGATCATTTCCAGGAATCTATCAAAAGGAAATAATCACAAAAATAGACAAAGATTTAGTTACACGGATATTATAGTGGCATACTTATAATACTGAGAAATTGAAAAAGCAATCTAAAAGTTCAACAAGAGAACTGGATAAATTATAGCACTTCATAAGTTAGAATGCAGGCATTAAAATCATCATACTAAACATAGTTTGAGGAAACTGCTTATATTGCTAGGTAAAAGAAAAGTAATTTGAACAGAATGGTACCAATTTGTGTTGCTTTTTTTTTTCTTTTTAACTGTCCAAAACATGTTTTTTATCTATTGTATTTTAATGTAGGAAAAACCTGGAAGGAAAATACTTTAACTGGAGTTCCTGCACAAAGACCATCCTGTCCCCAGAAGGGTGCTTTGGATGATCTCCCAGAGCACTGGTGGCATCAGCTGGGGCAGGCAGCTAGCTCTGAGAGAGGCTCTACTTCCACTGCAGGACCTGTGGAAAGAGGCCAACTAGTTCCAAAGCTACTTCTAAATAAAATCAAGGACTTGATTGCTGCCACAGCTGTTAATGTTATGTTCCCTGGACACTAACATCTGTTGGATAGTTATTTATTGGGTCACCATGAGAGTCAGAAGTGACTCAATAGTAACTGGTACTGGTATTTATTGGGTGCTTTTATATGTATAGTATTTATTAAGTGCTTTAACAAGTATACCCATTTAATCCTCTAAGCATCCCTAAGCGATACCTTTAAGAAACGTATTAACTGCCCCATGTTACAGTTGAGGAGGCTGAAGCTCAGAGAGATTAAGTGATTTGTCCAAGATCACACAACCTAGGAAGTGGGTGGGTGAGCTGGGCTTCAAACCCAGAGGCCACATCTGCATATAAGAGGTAACTTATTTTTGGTTGCTGTCGCAAGAAGGGAGAGGGCATAATAATGAGCAAATGAAAAACAACAAACTAATCAATGAAATTTCTAGAATTAGCATTTTCATCCCTTTGAAACAGTGCTCCCATGGTTTCACACATGAGATTGCTCAGGACAGTCACCATCCTCAGTGATTGTGGTTACTGTTACAGAATGGAACAGACTGCAAATTCCTCATGTCCTGCTTCATACCAGATTCACTCTTAGTTTGTCCTGGTCCTGGCAGGGCATGGTTCCTTGGCTGAGGAAGGTTCCTTGGCTGAGGAAGGTACTTGGCAGGTAATGGGAAACTGAGTGAGGAGGACCCCTGGCCTGGGAAGAAGGCACTGACTATGAAAGGAAGAATATATCAGTTGAAAAGGGAAAAGACCAGGGAAGGGCAACTGGTTGTGGAAAAGGAGCATTTTCTTGAGGAGTCCAGTGAAGGGAAGGAGACATGGAGTTAAAAAAGGGCCTAGGCTAGGAAAGGTATCCTTGCTATGGAGGCTGTCAATAGAGTCCCAGGTTGGGGAACAGACTGGCTGTATGAGGGGAGTTAGGTGGTGTAGCAGTCATGGCTGTGGAAGGCTTGGTAATTAAAAGGCATAGGAGTAGAAGGGTCCTGGATGAGGAAGGGGAAAGACTAGAGCTGAGGCCTGCCTAGGGAATGCAGTGCTGACTGAATAGGTTGCCTAGTTGAGGAATGGGGTCTGACTAGGGTATAGGATGGTAAGGGAGCTCCCTGAGGCATAGGGTGGGAAAATGACTCAGAGAGGAGGACAATCTAAAAAGAAGGCATAGACTGAGGAAGAAAGTCTGGCTGGGGAAAGGTACATAGGCTGGAAAACAAATTGGGTCAAGGAATCTGGCTAAGACTGAGAGGTGAAGGGCACCCAGCAGGAGAAAGAGTCCTTCCTGGCTGAACTTATTAAGTGCTGTATAGGGTTTCTAAGGAGCAGTTGGTGGGTCTGAACTGCCAACCTTATGGTTAGCAGTCCAATACTTATCCTACAGTGCTACACCAGAAGGGAGCCCCTGATGGTTCGGACTAGAGAAAGATGCCTGATTGTCAAAAGGGACCTGCCCGTCCAAGGGCTCCAAACTCTGTAGTGGTAACAATCAGGGTCAGGGAGCTAGAAGAGGGTACTGACTTGGGAATGTAGCCAGACTATTGATGAGAGTAGGTAATAGGTGGGTTAAGGAGACAGGCAAGGGAAGCATGCCTAGTAGGGGAAGGAAGGGCTCTGGCAAGGGAGGGGACCTGGGGGGGAAGGGGGCATGGGCTGAGGATGAGGTCCTAGCTTGGGATCCTAGCGACTGGCTGGGGAAGGGGCCTAGCTGGGGAGGAAGGCATAAATGGATGAAGAGAGCCTGCCTAAGTGAGAGGATCAGCTGAGAAAGAGGGGTAAGGGTATGGCTGGGGTCCCGGTCATAAGCAGGTCAAAGGCACCTTACTAGGGAAAGGTAATCTTCTGGGAAAGGTGGAATAGGGTAGGGAAGGAGGTCTGATGTAAACGGGCTTGACTGGGGAAAAGGGAAGATTCTAGGAAAGGGAGACTACCTGAGAAAGGTGGACTGGTTCTGTCATGGGGTATGGATTCAGGAATGAGGCCTGGCTGGGGAGCAAGGAATAGGTTAAAGAAGGTAAGTAAGCTGGTGAGTGAGAAAGGGTGAATAGGTTGGTGACAAGGCCCCTCTTGCTGATGGGGTATCTGGTTGGTATAGGGTACCACCAAAAACAAAACAAAACAAAAAATCACTACCATTGAGTGATTTTAACTCATAGATTCGAATTCATAGCATCCCTATATAGAGTTTCCAAGAATATAAACTTCTATAGGAGCAGCAAGCCTCATCTTTCTCCTGAGGAGTGGCTGGTGGGTTTGAACCTCCGACCTTGTGGCTAGCAGGCCAACACCTAACCCACAACACCATCAAGGCTCCTTGGTATAGAGTACATAGGCTTTTTTTTTTTTTTTAATGTTTTATTGAAATTTCATTGATTAGTTTGTTGTTTTTCATTTGCTCATTATTATGCCCTTTTTTAAAATTACAAATCATTTCACCCTTACAATTCTTTTGGCAAATTAAAAATATCAAGTCTCAAATATCAACAAATGTATATAGCTCTCACTTTTTTTTTTTTGCCCGTAATAGTAAATATAACAAAAATGGATCAACTGCTTCAATAAAACAAAACAATTCTTTTATCTCTTCTTAAATATTTTTCTATCTCTACGAATTAAGGAAAGGGACTAAATTCAGATCTTTCACACTTCTATCAGTTGTAGATATACTAAACTGAACTACTTAAAGACATATTCCTTCCTGTCTTTAATGAAGAAAATGAGGCTCTAATCATCTTTTTATGCCACATCTAGCTTATCAGTTTATCTCAATTTCCTTTATAGTTTTTACTCTTACATTTAATGTCTACATTTAATAAATAGAACCAGACACGTTTTTACAAGAAAACGAAGTGCTAGTGGAGGCTTTCTTGGTAACTTGAGACATCTCCTGAGTAGCCCTACTTCCATAATGTAAATAAACAAATAAATAAAAGAAAAGAAAAGGAAAACAAAGCCATAATACACTTTTCTCCCAAAGGAAGAAAATCGGCATCCACAAAACATCCATCCCAACTTTCTCTATGTTATATTCGTGGGACAATCGTAAAACACAAAGCTTATGATTTTACTAAACATATTTTTCCACCTTCTAAGTGCATCAAATCCAAAGTTCCAATTTTTATTCCCAAATTCTTTGACTGATTCTCATTGGTGAGGAACGTAAGTAAAGGCAAGAGACCCTTAGAATTTATTCTTCGTCCCGCAAACCTCCCCCATCCCCTGGCCGCCACAATCAAAGATGCAATTAAGACATTAGGGAAACGGATTGAATGAAAAGACAGAAAAGTTAGGCAAAAGAAAAGAAAACGGAAGAAAAAATACGAGCCTACTAAGGAGATGTGGTTGGCAATAATTTATTGGCAAATTATTTATGCTTCAGCTCCTGTGTCGGTGGCGGGGGCGTGGCTCCCAATGGCATCGGATCTAGAAGAGGCGCGGGGCGGCTCTGGCTTCCAGCGGCTTCACCGAGTTGTAGTGCTCACCGAGGTTGCAGGTGTAGCGCATGTAGACCAGGACCAATGGCTTCGCGGTGTACTCCTCCCCGATGACGACAACCGGCGAGTCGGCCTGGATCACCTCAATGGGGGTCTGCAGAACATGAGACAGGGCCCTCAGCTCGAGCTGGCCTCCCCATGACGCATTGCACATGATGTCGTTGCAATAACTCAGGAAGTCGTCGCGGCCATAGACGTCACCGGTTTCTGGGTCGCTGAAGAAGGGCATAAAATCGTCGACATGCTTCTGCATGTAATCAGCGGTACGGTTCCGCAGACTCTCCACGGTCACAGAGTACACCAGTTGGTCTTGGATGGCGCGGTACATACAGTGTCCGTCAGGCCGGATATCCTTCATCTCTAGATTCTTGACCCCCAAGATGACTGCGAGCTTCTCCTCCTCATTGCGGCGGAAGGCAGCTAGATGCTCCAGCTCAACGCCGGTGATCCTTTCCCGGTGTTCTCTCTCCAAGGCTGCCCTTCTTTCACGCCTTCTCTGTGTTCTGGTGAGGTGGGGAGGCTTGTTCTCAAGATCCATCTTGGCAAGATCTTCAGTGACGGTCTCGAGGATGCTCATTTCAGGGTTGCTGTCCCTGAACTTCTCCAACTCCTGGCTGTGCTTCTGCTCCAATTTGGCTTCCAGGCGGGCCACATCTAAAAGCAACTGCTTTCTTCTACTCTTTTCACTCTTTGGAACTGAATTTTTCATGGAATGGATGAGAGCCTGTAGCTCTTTGTTCTCGCAGTTGTGGCGTCGTATCATCCGCTGGTACTCACGCTGCGAATCATCCATAATATTTAGAGGCTTTGGCTCAGACTAACACCTCAAGCAGCGGATCAGGCTATAGTTAGTCAACTTGCTCTCCTTAACGCACTCTATCCACCTCACCCAGCAGTTACTCTCATTGTATTCTAGAGCCCCTTTGCCATTGGCTACTGTCTCCCCATGGCTACGCCCCTTTGAACACGCCTGGCATTAGGATTGGCTGTTAGGAGACCCTTAAAATACGTTTATTAGACCCCGTAGCAACGGGTGCTTCCGGTCTTGTTGTAGCAACCCCATGCACAGCAGAACGAAACAATGTCAGATCCTGGGCCAACCTCACTACCGCTGCCACACTTGACAATGATGTCACCTGGCCGATCCATCTTGTTGGGGGTCTTCCTCTTTTTCTCTGATCCTCCATCTTACCCAGCATGACATCCTTCTCCAGCTACTGTTCCCTCCTGACAACATGTCCAAAGTATGAGAGACGAAGTTTAGCCATCTTGGCCTCCAAGGAGCACTCTGGCTGCACTTCTTCCAAAACAGATCTATTGGTTCTTTTGGCAGTCAATGGCACTTTTAGTATTCTCCTCCAACACCACAATTCAAAGGCTTCAATTCTTCTACGATCTTCCTTATTCACTGTCCAGCTTTCACATCCATATGAGGTTCCGGTCTTAACAACAACAACAAATTTTTAAGTCTAGACACAACGCACACACTGACCTTGCTTGAAAGCCACATGGAGATTACGATTCTACCAACTGAGTATACTCTGAAACTGGACCGTGGCATTAGTCCAAGTTGTCAGGAGACAATGTGACATTCTCTAGTTTTTCAGGTCCTTTACTGGGTGATCCCTTGATCTTTGTCTTACCAGAACAAAGGCATTTCCTTATGGTTCTGGGAACACGGTGTCATTTCAATTAGGCCTCATATCCACCAGATTCCATCTCAGTCTAAGAAGGCAATAGCCACTCTCCACAATTATGTGGACTTTTTAGTTTGCATCAACAAAATTGTTGTTGTTAATTACGTGGAGTTGGTTCCAACTCATAGTGTAGGGTTTCCGAGGCTGTAAATCTTTACGGGAGCAGAACGCCTCATCTTTCTCCCGTGGAACCACTGGTAGTTTCCAACTGCAGACCTTCAGGTTAGCAGCCCGATTTGTAACCACTACACTATCAGAGCTCCTTGTCAACAAAAAAACACCTACTTAATTTCTCCTGTGTCCCAGCTCCCAAAATAGCCTCCCTGGGATGTCCCATGAAGCACCACAGCCAGCATTCATCTTATCACTTCCTTCTGACTTTGTTTTTTTAGGATCAGCATTGGGCTTCAAACCACAGGGTGAGCAATTCAAACCCATCAGCTGCTTCTTGGAAACCCTTTACACAATTGCTATGAGTCAGAACCGACTCTACAACACTTAACAACAAATGTTCCAAAAAACAAACCAAAACAAAAATACCCCAAGTATTTCTCTCATCTTGCCCCCACCACCTAAGTCTTAAACCCCAAAACAGAAAAGACCCTCTATACAATCTCCCCCTTGCTACAAATGAGAAAAGTTGGGTATTTGTCCAAGTGTGTCAAATTGTCATTACAGTTCTGATGTCTTATCCCACTGTAGGATAAGCACTGGAGTGCTAATCACAAGGTCAGCTGTTCAAACCCACCAGCTGTTGTTGTTAGGTGCCATCGAGTCAGCACCGACTCATAGAGACCCTATGCATAGCAGAACGAAACACTGCCTGATCCTGGGCCAACCTCACTATTGTTGCTATTGTTCTTGATTTCATCCCACAGCTCTTCTGGTCTTCTGTCTTTAGTGTTTAATTTATCAAATCTGTTCTTCGGATGATCTCTAAATTCAGGTGGGATATATTCAAGGTCATATTTAGGCTCTCGTGGACTTGTTTTCATTTTCTTCAACTTCAGTTTGAATTTGCATATGAGTAATTGATAGTCTGTTCCACAGTCTGCTCCTGGCCTTGTTTTCACTGATTATATGGAGCTTTTCCATTGTCTCTTTGCGCAGATGTAGTCATTTTGATTTCTACGTATTCCATCTGGTGCGGTCTTATGCTGTCTAAAGAAGGTATTTGAAATGAACAAATCATTGATTTTGCAGAATTCTATCATGCGTTCTCCAGCATCATTTCTATCACCAAGGCCATATTTTCCAACTACTGATCCTTCCTCTTTGCTCACAACCTTTGCATTCCAATCACTGGTAATGATCAATACATCTTGATTGCATGTTTGATCAATTTCAGATTGAAGAAGTTGGTAAAATTCTTCTATTTCATCCTCACTGGCTTTAGTGGTTGGTGCATAAATTGGAATAATGGTGGTATTAATTGGTCTTCCCTGTAGGCGCATGGATATTATCCTATCACAGACAGCGTTGTACCTCATGACTGATCTGGATATGTTCTTTTAAGCAATGAATGCAACACCATTTCTCTTCAATTTGTCATTCCCGGCATAGTAAACCATGTGGTGGTCAGATTCAAAATGGCCATTACCAGTGCATTTCAGCTTACTAATGCCAAGATGGAGCTCTGATAGCGAAGTGGTTATGAATCGGGCCACCAACCTTAAGGTCAGCTGTTCGAAACTACCAGCTGCTCCGCGGGAGAAAGATGAGGCTTTCTACTCCTGTAAAGATTTAACACCGACTCGACGGCACTTAACAACAACAGCAATGCCTAAGATATCGATGCTTATGCATTCCATTTCATTGTTGACAACTTCCAATTTTCCCAGATTCATACTTCGTACATTCCATGTTCCAATTTTCAGTGGATGTTGACAGCAGTTTCTTTTCATTTTGAGTTGTGCTCCATCAGAAAATGAAGGTCCCACGGGCTTTACTCCTTTCCTGTCATCATGGTCAACTCTACTCTGAGGCGGCAGCTCTTTTCCCCCAGTCTCATTTTGAGTGCCTTCCAACCTGAGGGGCTCATTTTCCGGCACTATATCTGACAGTGTTTCTCATAAGGTTTTCAGTGACTAAATATTCAGAAGTAGTTCGTCACTCCTTCTTCGTAGTCTGTCTTCGTCTGGAACCTGTCCACCATGGGTGACCCTGCTGGTATTTAAAATACCAGTGGCATAGCTTTCAGAATCATAGCAACTCACAAGCCACCACAGTACGACAAACTGACAGACAAGTGGTGGAATCCCACCAGTAACTCCTCAGAAAACCTATGCAGGATAACTATGGCTTGGAACCAACTGATGGCATTTAACAACAACAACAGCATTCCATGTGGTATGGCTGTACCACTGTCTGTTTAAACATTCACTAGTTGAAGAACATCTGGGTTATTTTCAGGTTTTAGCTGTCAGGAATAAATTTGCTATAAACATTGGTAAGCAAGTTTTTGTTTGAACATAAGTTTTCATTTCTCTGGAATAAATGCTCAGGAGTCCACCTACTGGGTTATATTGTAAGTATGGACTCCATATAATAAGCACTGGACTATGAACCACAGGTTCATGATTCAAACCCGCTAGTCGCTGCACCAAAGAAAGATGAGGCTTTCTGCTCCCTCAAAGATTTAAAACCTCGGAAACCCTATACATGGTTGCTATGAGTCAAAACCTACTCTACAACACATAGCAATGACAATTGTAAGTATATATTTAAGTCTTGCTTGTTTTTAAGAAATTGACAAACTATTTTCCAGAATGACTGTACTATTGTATATTTCCACAAGCAATAGTGTATGAGGGATCCAGTTTCTCTGTATCCTCAACAATGTTTGATGTTGACGCTAAATTTTTTTTTAGTCATTCAGATAATAGTGATAATAGTGATATGGTGAGATCTCATTGTGATCTTAATTTCTAGTCCCTTAAAAGATGTTAAACATCTTTTCATGTGATTATTTGTTGTCCTTACATCCTCTTCTGTCATATGATAATGTCTTTTGCCCAATTTATGATTGAGATTTCTTTACATATACTAGATAGTAGTTCTTTGCCAGAAAGTAGTGTGAAAATATTTTCTTCCACATTGTAACTTGTCTTTTCAGCCCTTCATATGATTTTGATGAAGTCCAATTTCAAAGTTTGCTTTCTATGAAATGTGCTTTTGGTGTCAAATCTAAGAACTCTTTGTTTAACCCTAGATCCCAAAGATTTTGTCACTTTGTAACTAAAAGAATTATAGCATTAGGTTTTATATTTAATTCTGTGATCTATTTTGACTTTATTTTTATATAAAATTTGAGATTTAGAGTGAAATTCTTTTTGCCTATGGATAGCCACAAATATGGTGATTTAAAATAACAGAATTTATTCTCTCACAGTTCTGGAGGCTAGCAAGGAGTTAGTAAGGTCAGTTCCTTCTGGTAGTTCTGAGGAAGAATCTCTGTTAGTTTATGTTGGTTGTCAGTAATCCTTGTCATTCCTTGGTTTGCAACTGAATTACTCTAATATCTAATCCCATTGTCACATGGCAATCTTCCTATTTGTCTCTCATTTTATAAAACCACCAGTTACTGGACTGAAGGAGCCCTGGTGATGCAGTGGTTAAACCCTTGGTTGCCAACAGAAAGTTCGGTGGTTCAAATCCACTCACTACTCTTCAGCAGAAAGATATGGCAGTCTGCTTCTGTAAAGATTGTTGTTGTTTTCGTTAAGTACTGTGGAGTCGGTTTCGACTCATAGTGACCCTGTATAGTGTTTCTGAGGCTGTAAATCTTTACGGGAGCAGAAAGCCTCATCTTTCTCCTGCGGAACAGCTGGTAGTTTCGAACTGCTGACCTTGCGGTTTGCAGCCAGATTCATAACCATTACGCTACAGCCTTGAAAACTCTACAGAGCTGTTCTGCTTTGTCCTATAAGGTAGCTATGAGTTGAAATGGACTCTACGAGTATGAGTATAGTCTTTAGATTAGGGCCCATCTGCAAAGACCCTATTTTCAAATAAGGTCACATCCTCAGATACTAGGGATTTTAAGTTAAACATATGCTAGTATTATTATTGTGGTTTGGGTATCAATATACCTTTT